GGTCAGAGAGTGGAGGGAGGCTGGCAGGGAGGGAGGTCAGAGAGTGGAGGGAGGCTGGCAGGGAGGGAGGTCAGAGAGTGGAGGGAGGCTGGCAGGCAGGGAGGTCAGAGAGTGGAGGGAGGCTGGCAGGCAGGGAGGTCAGAGAGTGGAGGGAGGCTGGCAGGCAGGGAGGTCAGAGAGTGGAGGGAGGCTGGCAGGCAGGGAGGTCAGAGAGTGGAGGGAGGCTGGCAGGCAGGGAGGTCAGAGAGTGGAGGGAGGCTGGCAGGGAGGGAGGTCAGAGAGTGGAGGGAGGCTGGCAGGCAGGGAGGTCAGAGAGTGGAGGGAGGCTGGCAGGCAGGGAGGTCAGAGAGTGGAGGGAGGCTGGCAGGGAGGGAGGTCAGAGAGTGGAGGCTGGCAGGCAGGCAGGGAGGTCAGAGAGTGGAGGGAGGTCAGAGAGTGGAGGCTGAGCGAGGCCTCTGAGAGTTTGACACATGGACTACTTTATAAAGGGGGGACAGCTGTTATAACACTGCATTTCCTATGGTGCTTGAGGGTGGCAAAGCATGATGGGAGTTGTAGTTCTACACAGCTGGAGGGTCTGACGTTTGGCACTCTGATATAATTATATAACAATAAATCTGTATAACCCAGGGGATACCCAGTGGGACACATTGTGGCTGCCACATGGATCTTTGACTGCTGGTTGTAGTGTTTATGTTCTGGTAATTAATCTAACTATGGTTATTGGAAAAGTAACCCTTAGGAGGTTATGGGGTTGGCTTAGCATTATGGGATTGCTGGTCCATAGAGGCTGGCAGGTGCCATCACTGAGCTGAAGTGATTTCTTAGCTTTACCTCAGGGCAGGAAAAATCTGAAAAAAGTAAAATCTAACTGTATAACTACAACTCCCATGATGCTTTAACAGGTGGGGTTAGCTATTTGCCACCCCTTTTTGGATGAGCAGCATGGGAATAGCTTTCAGATACCCCAATTGAAGATGCAAAGTGTAATATTTATTTTGTAGGTATTGCCACGAAAGCCATACTCTAAGAACCAAAACAACTTTAGCTTAATGAAGCAGTTTTGGTGTATAGATAATTCCCCTACTGTCTCATTGCTAAATTCTCTGCCATTTAGGTGTTAGTGGCTACCCGCTCCCACGTGCCCCACAACATCAAAAGGGTTAAAATCCCATTGTGCAGTCACCTGATTCCAACGCCAATCTCCCTTGTCATGGGTTGGCGCGCTGTCTCCTCCGTGCAGGGTGGGCATATGCACATGCACAGCTAGCTCTGCGAGTGCATTAGTTCCTCCACAAATATTCCTTTATAGGGTCATTTTAACCACCATTAGAACTTTACATAATTGCAAAGGTGATGATGCATAGACTACACTGAACGTATTGCTGCATATGGTGGGGCTATTCAAAAAACGTTTGACTACTTACTGTGGGTACTGTGGCACCATAGCTACCACAGTGTGTTGTAATGGTTATAGCAGCCTGGACTGCCCGTTTACGCATACAGTATTCATCCTACTGTCTCACAATTTTAACAACTAAACGATCTTGGACTGTAAATAGCAGATATAGCATACCTGGCAGCCAATAACTATGTTGGGTGTATAATCTGAAAACCTCATACTTGGAACTATTCAATATGAATCTTTACATTTCAGGAATTTATATGCACAAACATGGGTGAGGCAGAAAAAATATGGGTCACTCTAAATATTACAAGTTGTTGCACTGATTATGGTGCATTGAGTTTTGAAACCATATCAGATGTTCTTTTGCAGCGACTCAGATAATAAAGTTACAAAACTACTTTATCCGTCCATAGCTGCCTGGCATTGGCAGTAATAGGCTGAGAATTCTGGAGGACAGGGTAGTCCAACACTTTCACTCTGTCTTTGCCATCCATTGCTGTACAGCTTTGGGCAGATAATGCCAAAGTGTAACTAAAGTAGTTATAGTAGGACTGGGCTTTGGGAGCCCTGGAAAATTCTATTTTTGTCCAACTACTCGAAAAGGGCTTAACAGAAAAATGGTATGGTATCCAAAGATTTAATGATCCACACCCACTACAATTTATTTATTTTACAACTGTTCTCCAGAGCATTTTACAAAATAAGCAAATTCGGGTTTATAGATCAAATTATATAAATGGAGTAGAGAGAATCTTTCCATCCATCAATCATTCGCCTGCAGCACTTCCTACAAGGAATGTATGGTAAAAGACCGCCCATAAGCTTACAGTGATACAGTTTCCGATGATTATGGGGCATAGAGTATCCCTTTAAATACAAATTTTATCATGTCTGCCTTAGATTACAGATAAACTATATTTTTATGATAGATTCTAAGGGAATCAACAATTTAATACACCCTGGGTTTTGCAGCTTACATTTTTAAAAATGTTTTCTGCGTTGTTAATTTTTGTTTTGATGATGTGAACATACTGTATGTATTTAATTTAGGGGCCAGAATTCCCGCTCACCTGTTGGCCATTGGCAAGTGAAAATTCAGCCCTAGTGAGGTAGTTGTGAACTCCCACTGGAGTTTAACAAAAGTCCATGATTGACATCTGTGGCCAACATGAGCGACATTAATAATACAACAGGTGCTGTCAGATTAAAGCTTGATAGAGATAGACACCAACCCTCCCCAAAACCAGGCACCATGAACTGCTGCAAATTTCTACATACCTTCTAAATTCTGTAAAAAAAAATGTTTACTAATGCTTTAGACCATAATTTTTTTTTTGGATATGATTTGTAACCAAATAAATAATAAACTTAAGTTTACAATTCTATATTTATAAAGTGCTTCATAGACATTTTTGTGTCAATCGCATTTATTTGAGTTTTCTTTTTGCAGGCAATAAGATGTCTCGTGTTCCTCTTGGAAAAGTTCTTCTTCGAAATGTCATCCGCCACACTGATGCCCACAACAAGGTTATATTTCTTAAGATGGGGGAATGTGCAGAGAACAGCACTGTTTATGCAGCCCAAGTCACACCTCCCCTGCCTGTGCCTCACACACTCTTCATGAAAAAATTGGTTTCATTTTCGATCCGATCTTATAGCACATTCTTATTTTATACCAAATACAGTGGGGCGCTTATATTGTGATAATGAATAAATAATACACCTAGTGAAAACAGAAAATGTTTCTATACCGTTCACTTCTGTTTCTTGAGCAGTCCCGTGTCGTATATACCTTTTAAAATAAATATAAATAAAAGAAAATAGTATAGTACCCTTATGTACACAAATATAATACACAAAATAATGGGGAACTCACATGTTCCAGAGCTATAACCTAGCTCTGGGAATATTGGCCAGTAGGCCAGTTTTGACGACCTTCCCCTTTTTCCTTTGAAGAGTGGTTTAGGGTTTCCTTATGTAAAATTATAGTTTCTGGTATAAGCCCAGAGCCTATGAATTGGCTAAGTGGAACAGCAAAGTATGGTTAGGAACCATACCACCCTCTTTGAGAATGCAGGAACGATGATAGTAAGTGCAAAGGTAAATAAAAGTATAAATCTTTAGACAATTATATGCTTTATTTAAAGCTTAGTAAGTAAAAACATTATACAATATAGTATATCGTTCCAAAGACAGAGATGGCTTCCTGAATCTGGTGCAATGAACCATCAAGTCACAAAGTCTGTCTATATATAGGTCTATAAATACCGTGAAAATTGGTTTCATTATGAAAATCAGATCTTATAGCACATTGTGTTTACTTTAGAAGTTATTATCTCCAGCTCTGTCAATTGAACTTTAATCAGACACATTAAGCTGCTGCAGGCTGTTAACAGAGATTGAGATAAGAAGTCCCACACCCCAAATATATATATATTATGAAATGTGACTGAATTGGTCACTTTTAAATTTTATTTTGATGTTGGTGTTATTTTAGGATTCAAAAAATAATGTATAATTTGATTTTTATAAGTCGCCTTAGTATTTAAAAATAAAGTACGTTTTGAGATAAGTACATTTTAAAAGGGTGTTTGTTTTATTATAAGTTCTATTTTATTTAAATCTTACGTTGCATGTCTAACATTAAAATAGATTATTTGTATAAAGGGAATTAAAGAGGGAGTTGCAAAGAATAAGACCATTAAATCTGCAACCTGCGTGAGCTCCTTACTATTTTTTGTCCTTACTATTTGTCGCCATTATCTTTTGATAGATTCAAGAAGAATCTGAAATGTGGAAAATTCGAGAAATGGAGAAGCAGGCACAAGATGATTATGGTACAAAGCGGAGAAGAACATCACCAGAGCCAAACCGGTTGGTATTCTAATTTAATGCTATCATCAATGATTTGCATTCCAGTTTACAGCTGTTTTTGTAGGATTCATTTCCTAGTAATTTTTATTTAATTTAGAGAGGGTAAGGATAGTCTAGAAAGAGTAGGAAAAGAATAGAAAAACATTTTATAGGAGTTTAACCATTTAGAGCATTTGTTCCCAAAGCAGTCCTTGCGACCAACCAACAGTCCAGGTTTTGTCAGTATCTCCATTGGAATAATAAAGGGAAACACATAAATACATTAGTCCTAGATTGTTGGTGGGCTATGAGGACTGGTTTAGGAACCACTAATTTAGATGAACTTATTTTAACAAATAATGTTCTATTTTTCTGTGCATAAAGCTAATTATTGATTGTACTGCATTAACTGTATCAGTTAGCATATTGAGATGGGCCAAATGGTTCTTATCTGCCGTCACATTCTATGTTTCTATAGTATTTAGAAAATTGGGCAGGCTAGATGGGCCAAATGGTTCTTATCTGCCGTCACATTCTATTAGTTGACATCTGAGTTTAGATGTGTGCAGTGACCATCCTAGGAATTTATGAAATTAGGCACAAAACACTTATTGAATTGGGGTAGATGCAGAAGATGCTGAAATGTGTAACCATGGGGGCATGTGGCACATCAGTGCATCTGTTTTAGCTGTGAATTTGGATGTTTGTTTAAATATTGTTACATAATGAATGTTGACGACATAGAATACTTTATGGTTATTCCACACCTGGAAAAATGTACTCTGATACTTTTTGTGGGAAGATACGTTAAACCTAGTGCTTTATGTGCCATTAGCATGGACCGTATTTATGGCAAAGATTTATGTAATTATTTTAAACAAAACGTTTGATGTGGGATTTACTTGTTCTGTTGCTCTGTTTCCTTTCAGCCTCTCCAAACCATTCATATTTAAAATTTCCCGATTGTGGTAACCTTTGCAGGGAATGCCTTTTCTCTATTTACTTGCTTTACCATCTTCGTTTACATTTTGTTCTTTACCTTTCATTTAGATTCCTCAGTGTATGACGTTTTATCTTCCCATACTCTCCTAGTTGTTGTGTGTCACGATCTTCCTTTCATCTAGGTGGGATCACAATGGCTACAAGGAGTTATATCCCGAAGAATTTGATAATGACAAGTAAGTTTGTTGAACACAGTTGCTGCCAGTGGAAAGGCCAAATAACTTATTTTCATTTTTTAAATTTTTTTTTTAAATGTTTCAAGTCACATCCGTACACTCAATTTTTTTTTTCTGTCTGTCTCACTTTCTATTTGTCTATCCTCCATGTGTAAGGCCTTGATTTAACTTTACTGACGCTATAACTAACATCTTGCAGAAGCCACATGAGATCCGATGGTTTTGATGCTGATGGAAGTAAACAAGCTGAAAAAACAGGAGTGGCATCGGCAGTGATGCTGAGACAGGGTGCCCTGGGTATCCGGGCTTTGAACAAGAAGTTCTACGAGTGTGAGGCCAGCTTACCTGACAGGTGCGTTTACTGCTTTTTAATAACTTAATTGTCAGTGATAACCCAGGTATGGTATCCAGAGGGGTGTGTAATGATTTAGTGATGTCACCAGATACATCTAAGGTCAAGGATTAAATCAGATCTTCCTGATTTCAATCCTACCATTCAAATGCCGATATATTTTTTTTTTTCCGATCTGATAAATAATTTTCCATATTCTGTTCTGATAAAGAAACATACCTTCTCTATGAGTATTGGTAGGGGAGGAGGGACAGCTCAAAATGGCACTGTCACTTCTCCCTGAAAAAATAGCATTTCGTAAAGATAGAATATTTATCCTTTAGGATTTCTGGAGCCATGTATCCATTAGTTCCTGCCTATAACATACAATTAAAAAGACATTGGTAAACAAATTTCAGCACTTACAAGCAAAGTATAAGCATACCATGCATAGTTATTCAACAAGAAAAAGAAGAAAAAAGGCTGCGCACACAGATAAAATTGGAAAAAATAAAAAAGTTATTTTTAAATAAAATAAAGTCCAATTAGAAAGAAGGAAAAGTCCAATGTAATTGTCCTTACAGATAGTCTTTGCTGTTGACGTCTTCTACTTTGTAGTGAGTCCACTTATATGAAAGATAAAAAGAGAGAGGGGGACAACCAATAGTGTAGTATGTAGAGTTCTTATATGGATGTGTAGAAATAATAATATAAAACTCACATTTATCAGAGCTAATGTCCTAGCTCTGGAATAAAGCGCATACGGCGGTTTGATCCCCGCTTATGGGATATAGATGGGTTCCTCTCTGTGATACGTGTCCAGTTTCTCGAAATAAAAGAGACAGCCAATAGTGCTCACTGTATAGCAATATTGATAAAATAATAAAAGAATGTACTTACAAAACCAGAGCAGACCAACTGCTCCGTGATGACAGCTTGGGTGGATTGATCCCCACCTTGGATTTCTTTAAATGCAGGAAACTTCCAGGGGTTTTCAGGTTTTTTTTTAAAACCAATAAAAATAATAATTAAAAAGCCAGGGTAAAAAGAGTATTATGTGTCTATAAAAAAAGATTATTGGCACAAACAAATGACCAAAAAATACTTTAATATATTTACAAACACAATAATTAAATATCCATAACGCGTTTCGTCTAAGACTTTATCAAATGGAATAACAGATGATACCTGGCTTGTAGGTGTTATATAGGAACATAACTCATTTGAATTTGGCGCCAAAAATTGGTCCGTCCAATCAGAAACAGAATCACATTTAAAACTTAAAATATGTTCAAAACTTAGTCAGTATATAATTTATAGTAATATAACTTGTTTCTAATGGTTAGAAATCAAAAACGAGGGTTGGAAAGTATAATTTAGAACATTTTAAAATAATCACGTGACATACGGCACTTCCGCATTTCGGAAGTTTTCGCCGCAATGCCTTATGGGAAATGTAGTTAAAAGTTAGCCGCGACCGGCGGCCGCATACAGAAGTAAAAAAAACGATAATCATACACAAGTTATCTAGCGCTGTCTTTCTCTTTTTCCTTGTTACCATAGTTATTCAACAGTTGCATAACTGTTGCATATGGAATGTATATTATAATAAACATGCTTAGATCATGTCATATCGATAGGCGAGTGAAGAGAAAAGAGAAGATTTACAGCCATGTCGTGATTAAGATTTAATTGTTTCCGTGGTCAAGTGATTTGGCTGGAACTCTGTAGATTTAGGTTTCTATTTCTCCAATAGATATCTATTCTACCTATAGACATTTAGGAAGCATTCCAAAAGTCAGGGTGGTGTAATGATTTATATCAACCTAGGCAAAGACGCAATTTGATGCCCAACACAATTTGATCTCATCTTAGGGTTTATGCACTATACTAGGAATTGTAAAGAATTGACCAGATTTAAGACTGATGGAAACATTTATTTTTGAACTAGATCATTTTGCCATTTTTTTTTTTTTTTTGGTTTGGGCTTTAAACTTGCAAATTCTTTTTCATTTCTCCACATTTCAAAGTTTGCTAAATAATATACCAGGGTACCAGGGAAGTCCTTCACAATCACAAACTCAATTTGACCACACCGTGATTAACCAGAGGGTTCTTGGCAGAGAGTAAGCACTGCTAGAGTTTTTAAGAGGAGAATAGAACTGGAAGGTCAGGGAAAAAAATCTCATGGTATCCCAATCAGCCATCCTTCTCTAATTACTGTACATTGTGAATAAACATATAATTTTTTTTTTAAAAATACGCATTTTGACTGTGTTGGAATTTCACTGAAAGAGAATTGGTATTTAACAAAATATTGATAAGGATTGTATACAAAATAAAAATAATTATATATGCTAGATCAATGTATCTCCCACTAAACCAGATAAATGCATTAGTCTAGTATGAGCAGGGGCAGTAGAAGTGTTGTGATAGTCATAAACACGTCATTGGTGTATCTGCAACAAGTCCTCCTATTTCCAGTTTGGTTGTACAAACCAGAGCATGAGCACATGGGCGAGGTAAATTAAACTCCCGCATTCCATAAAGGCACAAGAAAATTGTGGTTAACTGCCTATCCAGTCCCAGGTTAAACTCTGAGATGGCACCTGTGTCTTCTGTTGCAGTACTTCTTAGTACTTGCTCTGTGAGTCTCAGTAGCTTGGTTGGGGTTAAATGTGTTTTTAGTTCTGTTTATTAATATTTTGCTTTGAAATTTAAGGTTTGTCAAGGCCGTTTAAGGGGGGTCAGTTTGAGGATCAAACCAATCAAATATTCATGGCAAATACATGACTAAATACATTGTCTAAAACATTATAATTCAGAATAACTGTACCCAGTCATGGAGAAACCTTTCTTTTGGCTTATTTCTAAATTCATGGGAAAACAAGTCTGTAAATCACATGACGGAATCTGTCTTTCTCTAATTATCTTGTTATAGATGGGGGCACAGCGGGTACAAGGAACTGTATCCTGAGGAATTTGATTCAAACAGGTATGTGGTGAAAATTAATCTTCCACCTGCACGCCCTTTTTTTTCATCCAGCTAATCATAATATGTGTTTGTATTTTACTTCTGTTCTGCATGCATGGATTTGAGCTTTAGAATTTCTTGTATATACTGGCAAACACATGGGACCAGAACCCTTTAACCACTTTCCTTGACTGTTGTGCAAGCAATGATATTAGAAGAAATTACAAAGATAATACCCCAGTGCTCTTCCAGTATCTCAAACTCCAGATTTTCCCATTGTATCTGGTAACATCTCTTACTATGACCCTGTACATTCAGCAGCATAGCAGGTATTGCCAAAATAGCACCATTGTCTAATGGATGCACATGAAACTGCTGCTCAGATGCTGTAAACGATGGGTTCAGGTTCCTAACTAGATGATCTGGTGCGAAATCATAAAAACGTTGGAGGTCTTTTTTTGGGGGTGGGAAGTGACGGGGGAGGGGGGGAGAATTATAACACTCACTAAAACCCAAAAGCAACACATAACCTCTCCCCCCCTTTTAAATATTTTTTTAATGTATAATTTATACATAATGGCGGTTGCAGTTATAACCTACTGTCATTTTAAATATGTGCAGGGATTCCTCTGCTATTCTGCACACATTTTTAAAATATAATTTGTGATTTTTTTTTTTTTCATATCTATATTTATCTATATTTTAGCAAACAAAGTATTTGCATGGTGAATCCAGTAATCATTGTTCAGCATGGCAATACTGTAACTTGTTATAAGCTGAATACTACTATATTTTCCATTATTATATTATTTGCCCATGCATTCCGTTTTATAGATCTGTTATAGCTTTTGTGATTTAACCCCATTGAGGGTGTAGTCCAATGCAAATCCTGTGATATGAAACCAGACCTGGCATGCCCTCTGTAATTGAGTGATTAACATCTTTATTCACTAAGGACTTCCTATTGCCAAGTAATTGAAAGGGATTCTCCAGTCTTGAGGTCACCCCCATGTCAGTTTTAATCTTTGATATAGATAAATCCCTAAAAAATAAATGTTAACAAAGAAATGAATCTGGAGCGTCTGAACTGCTGGAAAACGTAAACCTAGCCCTGCAAGGGTTAGAGTCCAGATCAATCAGTAGCTATTTAATTTCTTATTAAGAAAACGGTTATCTGAAATAGATTTCTCAGAAATTTCTTCCTGATGACACGTACAACTGTGTTATTGGACACTGCAGCTTAGGAGGAAAGAGCAGAAATGAAGCTGTAACATCACATACACTGGTACATTAACCAGAAAAAAAAGGAAATAATTTAAAGTGAGGGATGTGGAACACATGATGCATGGAACATGCAAAAATACAGCTAATTATTTAGGCTAGGAACTATGAAATATCTACATGTTGTATTAGTGTCTGACGTGTCCTTTTTAAATAACGACAAATATACCAAATTACACCCGGTGGGAAAATGACCTTTTATTTCAGCCTTTTATGTAATCCCTCAATTTAACCTTGGTGTTTATTTATTCTTTATGACAGTGACACAGAAGAAAAAAGCAACAAAAGGAAAACAAACGGCCAGGAAACGACAAGAGGTAGAGCTCAAAAAGAACAGGAGTCTCATAAACGTAAGAGATCCAAGAAAACCCATAAAAAGAAACAGAAGAAACGGTCTCACAAAAAGCTAAAGAAGAGAAAGAAGGAGTTGGAGGTGCCTACAGAAACCTCAAGTGAGAGTGACAGTTCAGAGGACACCATGGAAAAGCCAAAGAAATCTAAGCGCAAGAAGAAGACTCGAAAAAAGGCCACTAGAAAACAGCCATCTTCATCTGGACAAGACAGCGATTCAAGTGATGAGATGAGCAGCACCGAAGATGCTGAGACAGAGGAACATAAAGGCAGACGCCATAAAAAAACAAGCCAGAAACACCACCATCGATCAAAACCCAAGAAAGACACCGAGATGGAATTGAGGAAAAGCAGGAGGACAAACTGGAAAGTGGCTAAAGACGAGGGGTCCGATAGCTCGGATGAAGACTGAGGCACTGCATCATCGGTCTTTGATTTTATCATGGAGGGACTTTACTCAATATGTACTATAGAAAATTCCTTTCCAATTGTCTCAAATGTGCAATATTTTTTGTTGTGTATTTTATTTTTTAATCTGAAAGGAACCTACTTTACATCCCTCTTATTTACCTTATACCTGATGTTTACCTTTTAGTCAGCAGAGCAAGTAGCCAATATTCCTACCCAAAATTAACACATGCGCAGACACTTCCATACAGGATCATAGAAGACAATGATCAACCCAAGATAACATTCAGGAGGTTTTTTGATAAAGAAAGTTATGGAATGTGTTTTTGTTCTTGTTTTGTTTAGTTTAATCGCACCCTTATCTATGTTGTAGTTTTTACATGATACTATAATGTTGAATGCGCCAGACAGTATCAGAATCATTTGTGGTATTAAAACAGAAAGGATGATATGCTGTGATAGGGAAATCTACTAATTTTTACAACTGAGTAATTAAAATGCCAGTGAAATGTAAGCAGCTATGGAGTGATTTTAGCCCGCACAGCTGTGTGTTCAATAGAACAGAAACAGGACTTGCTATAGTGGAACCCCAAAAGCCAATTGGGGTACCAGGTGTGTTTTAATTAAACTGTTGCGCTTTCTAGTTGTATTTGACGGTTTAAAGTAATGAAGAGGGAAATGTTCATTTAACATATCTGCAAAATAAAACCACATTTTAGTTAGTTTTTTTTCTCGTTTCTAAGATGTGTGTTTGTTTTTTATTCAGTTTACGGTAATCCCTAATAATTAAAACGAGTTTCCTGTTTTGTAACTCTGTGTATGTTATTGGCATGGAATCCATTATAATACTAAATATAAGCAGCCGGCTTACATTTGTATTTCTATTTATCGGTGATTGTGGCATGAATTTTGTTTGTAAAGGTAACATTTCAGCTTCTCTTTATGAAGGAATGACTGTAAAGAGGTAGTGTAATCACGATCGAGCTCAGCTGAGTAATTTTTCAGACTGCCGTAGCCCACCACCTTTCTAGCCACCTTGATAAATCTACACTTTATCACTCAATCTAACATATATCAAAATTGATATTGGTAATGCAAAAGTGTAGTTTCCACACTATCAGTGTGACTGTCGAGAGGCCAATCTTTTTGAAACTGCTACAAATTGGTTCTTACCATATTGTGGGATGGTACCCATAGCGTCTTTGCACCACACTACATTTTGCCATAGTGGGTATGGTGCTCTCAGTGATGTATAGGAATATAGTAGTAAAACATTTAAAGTTTTATAAATGTGCATAAGCATTTGGCCAAGCACCACATGGTGTCATGTCACTCAACATCAGAAATTAGGAAGGAAAATAAAAAGCTTTCAGTTCTGTTGCTTTATTCCATAAATACTTGTAAACAAATACAGAAAGACGATATCTAAATAAACCCTGTAACCCATTGTAACTGAATCAAAACCTAACGATAGGAATTAGAGAGGGGGGAAAAAGGAACGAAATAGGGGGAAAAAAAAGAGCTAAAAGTAATGAAAAGTCATTGCATTCCTGTGATCATGAGAGGTGCCTAGTATTCCAGAGCTTTATACAGTATATAAAGTGAATTAAAAAAAATAATTTTAACCCTTTCCCTGCCAAATCTGTTACAGCAGTGCCTTTGTACTGTCTATATTTTTTTTTCTTTTGCCCTTAAGGGTTAAATTTGTTTTAAAAATCTGTGTCTTGGACTGTCTTAGTCAGTTTCCTTCCCCCAAATCTCCATTATATTCTTTTAACAGGAGTTAGTTTAGGGATTACTGTTTTAAGGGGAGTATTAGGTCGCGCCAAAAAGTAGATATAACAAAATCAAAATATTGTAATACAGCAATCAATAAAATTTGAAATTTTTGCATATAGAACAGGTTAAATACATGTAGATGATGTAGTAAGTACTTACAAATAGCAGTACATACAAAGAAGAATAGATGAAAAAGTCCTAAAATAAGCAGGGGATAATCGAGTCCGCTTGAGGGAAAGAAACAGTCCTTGTAGAATTAGGGAAATGGATGTAACGTCTTGTTCCAGGTGCCAGTATGCAAAAGAAAACAAGATAAAAGCTCCAATGGTATAGATAGTCTTTTCCGCTTCTTTATAGAAATGCAGAGTAAAAAGGTATCACACTCACCTATATTAGAGCTAAAACTAGCTCAGGTGTATATCGCATTCAGTGGTACTGGTCCCCCACTGGTGGGATGTAGACATATATACGTGGCCGAAATCCTCGGAAAAGAAGAGGATAACACAAAATAGTGCTCACTGTATGAATAGATACTTAAAAGGAGTAAAATGTGTATAAAATACTCACATTTAAGTGAGCAGGTAATACTGCTCACTGATATGGCGTAGGTGGTATCATCCCCACCTGGGATTCTTGAACGTAAAATAATAATAACCAGGTCCAGAAAATAATAAATAAATAAAATATGATAAATAAAAAATAAGTCATGTATTATCAAGGATAAAAGGTAGAATATAGGCCAATAATACTTTATTGATAAAATATAAAAGATATATATAAAATAGCCAAAACGCGTTTCGCCACACAGGGCTTTTTCAACTGGCAATAAGAAACAGAGACCTGGTTCACAATGGTTTAACCCCTTAAGGACACAGCTTCAGAAGCTTGACTTACGCTTAATGACACAAGCAATTTTTGCATTTTCTTGCTGTTTGCGTTTAACTGCAATTTGCATCTCTCTCATTTATTGCACCGACACATATTATATACTGTTTTTTAAAGGACAGAAAGGGCTTTAATTTGATATAACATATATATATATATATATAAATGCTTACTTATTATAAAAAAAATACAGAAAAATGCAAAAAAAATGAAAAATATTGTTTTTTTTACAGTTTTTGCAATAATAATGTGTGCATAATTAGTGCAGGTTAAGGAAAGTAATTAAAAATAAATTTATTTATTTGTTCTGATTTACAGAATATATAATGTGTCTGGGATTTTAAGTTTTTTTTTTGGTAGTTACAGGTCACAAAGCACAAGGAGTAAAATAAACTTTTAATGTGGAGCGATTTTAGAATTTGGTATGTTTGTCTTGTAAGCCTAATAGCCATAAAAGAAAACAAAATTGCCACACAAAAGTATATATTTATATAAAGTAGACATCACAGGCTATTTACCTAAGGTTGTTTTGACACTTTCTACATAGCCATTTCACGCCAACCTCTGCTAAATATTGGAGTAAAATTTAGTTTTTTGGGGTTTTTGGCACACAAACTTATAACAAAGAACTTCTCATGTTTATTTTGTAAAGTTGGTGTGTGCTATTCCTGTACAAAGTTTTATCTTGTGTTCAGTTACATCTGCTGATTAAAATGACACCCCCATTGTATGTCTTTGGCACTATTTCGTGAAGTTACAGTGCCATTTAGGTGACCTGTCCTTTTCAGTATTCACAGTAGATTTTTGAGAGACGGATTTAATGAGCCTATGCATCCATTTGGGGTATTATAACAGTTTGACTGTTCAAAAAAAAACCCACAAAGGCCTACCATTTGTAAAAGTAGACACTCCAGGGTATCTCATAAGGTGCATATTGTGCCTTAACATGCCCCCATTTTTTCACCAATATATGCCAAAGTATGTGGTAAAAAATAATTTTGTGCGTTTTTACACATGGATTGCATTTTTGCTGGGCATTTTGTATATTTCACATGTGCCACTAAGTTCAAACCCCCCAAATTATGCTCGGCTAAGTCTTCTGAGTAAAAGGACACCCCCATTGTATGTCTTTGGCACTATTTCGTGAAGTTACAGTGCCATATAGGAGACCTGTCCTTTTCAGTATTCAAAGTAGAATTTTGAGAGACGGATTTAATGAGCCTATGCGTCCATTTGGGGTATTATAACAGTTTGACTGTTCACAAAAAACCCACAAAGGCCTACCATTTGTAAAAGTAGACACTCCAGGGTATCTCATAAGGTGCATATTGTGCCTTAACATGCTCCCATTTTTTCACCAATATATGCCAAATTATGTGGTAAAAAATAATTTTGTGCGTTTTTTACATATGGATTGCATTTTTGCTCGGCATTTTGTATATTTCACATGTGCCACTAAGTTCAAACCCCCCAAATTATGCTCAGCTAAGTCTTCTGAGTAAAATGACACCCCCATTGTATGTCTTTGGCACTATTTCGTGAAGTTACAGTGCCATATAGGAGACCTATCCTTTTCAGTATTCAAAGTAGAATTTTGAGAGACGAATTTAATGAGCCTATGCATCCATTTGGGGTATTATAACAGTTTGACTGTTCACAAAAAACCCACAAAGGCCTACCATTTGTAAAAGTAGACACTCCAGGGTATCTCATAAGGTGCATATTGTGCCTTAACATGCTCCCATTTTTTCACCAATATATGCCAAATTATGTCGTAAAAAATAATTTTGTGCGTTTTTTACATATGGATTGCATTTTTGCTAGGCATTTTGTGTATTTCACATGTGCCACTAAGTTCAAACCCCCCAAATTATGCTCAGCTAAGTCTTCTGAGTAAAATGACACCCCCATTGTATGTCTTTGGCACTATTTTGTGAAGTTACAGTGCCATATAGGAGACCTATCCATTTCAGTATTTACAGTACAATTTTGAGAGACGGATTTAATTGGCCTATGCTTCAATTTGGGACATTATTGCAGTTGGAAAGTTCAACAAAACCCACAAAGGCCTACCATTTCCTAAAGTAGACACCCCAGGGTATTTCAAAAGGCATATTTTAAACCTTA